GGGAGTCTGCTTCTCCCTCTGACCCTCCCCCCTCTCATGCTCTCTCTCTCATTCTCTCTCTCAAATAAATAAATAAAAAATCTTTAAAAAAAAAAAAAAAGAATCATACCCAGAGGCTTTAAGGGAGACATCATAACCACAAGAAAAAGAAGTGGCAAAGGAGTTGTTACATTACTAAACCACTTGTTCTTAAAACCAAGATTATGTAAACTGTTCTTGGTTAGCAGTTCATGTATCAGAAGTCATAAATGTAAGAACAGTCAGAAAAAGATCCGTCTTTCACTAGAGTATTAGTTCAGCTGCAAGAGTTAACGTTTTCCCAGTCTCTTAATGAAGAGGAATTGGGTGTTAATGTCAAAGCCCACTGACTTTGCAGAGGGGAAAACTATACATCATCCCCCCCCCCCAGGAGGCGCACTGCTCTCCCTCCTTGGCACTACTGTGAGACTCATATCAGAAGCTATGAAATGTACAAAGAGCACCCTTGCTGGAGAAATAATGTCTCCTCTGTACCACAACTCATCCTCATAAATCCTCCACGCTGTCTTAAAAAGGCCTTTCTTATGATTAAACTATAAAAAAATGTTGTTGAAAAATCAAACAAACAAATCCAATGTGGTCCATGTCCCAAAATTAAACTATACATATCCTGGATCTGATCCATTTTCTTCATTTTGTGATTAACTGCTTAAATGGCTTAAGAAGCCTCTGACTTCATTAAACAATCTGGAAACAGTAAGAACTTTTTCCCAAAGAAATTAGCTGTCAAATTATTCCTCCACTAATGTGTTTGTTTTCTGATGCTAGTGCTGAAATGCCAAGGCACTCTGACAGATAACTGTTTGAAGATTTGGGCTCAGAGCTTTTAAATAGCATGAGATATTGGTTTTGGAAGCAGCTGTTAGACAGAAGGGCGGGACCAGGGGGAAGGGGGACATGGTAATGGAAGTGCCGGTTAACGGTTCTGGGTCTCCTTTCTGATATTGGCGTGTTAATGTTGCCAAAAGGGTTCCCAGCATTTGTACAACAGTAAAGAGGCTGGATTTTTTTTTTTTTTCCAAACGAAAAAAAACAACCTTCATTTCTGTGTAAATCAAGAATTATGCATTAGAATGAAATGAAGAAAAATATAAATTAGAAAAAAGTAGAAAAGATAATCTAAAAGTGCATTATCAAACATTAAATTTTCTAATGGGGGAAGGGACCTTCAAATCTCACCTCAAAGGCAAAAGAAAAAGAAATTCTCTGTTAAGTTTATGTATTTACTTGGGTCTCAATCTCTTAATCTAAAATTGCACTGTCCGATATGGTAGCCACTGGCCAAATGTGGCCGGTGGGCACTAGTCCAAACTGACTCGCACTATCTGTGTAAGACACACACGAGGTTTCAAGGATTTAGTAGGCAAAAAAGAGTATAAAATGTTTCATTACTACTTTTCATATTAAAATTTTACTTTATATATATCAGATTAAATAAAACATTATTAAAATTAATTTGACCTGTTTCTTGTTACTTTTCCTAATATGGCTACTAGAAAATTTAGATTTCATATAGGGTTCATATTTGTGTCTCTCATTACATTTCCACTGGACAATACCAGTATTTAATTAAAATGAATCAGAATGAATTTAATTCCTTCAAAATCCCTTCCAGCTCCAGAGTTCTGACACTAAGAGACTGCAGGCTCAAGCTGGTAAGTTTCAAATACAAAGTTATTTTGGAGAAACTTAGGTTCAGTCACTATTTCATTATTTCTCCATACTTTTCACTCATGCTCTCCAATGCTTCTTTATTCTGTTTCCTATGGATCCCTAATAGCCAAGAAAAATGAATGTGTCTATTTATTCACTTATAAACTATAAGTATGAAGTTCATAAGGTCATTCTGAATTGTTAGCTGGTCATATTTCTTTTTGCTTTACACCATACTGACGCCCATTTTTATTTTTTTATTTTTTTTTAAGATTTTATTTATTTATTTGACGAGAGAGACACAGCGAGAGAGGGAACACAAACAGGGGGAGTGGGAGAGAGAGAAGCAGGCTTCCCGCCGAGCAGGGAGTCCGATGCGGGGCTCGATCCCAGGACCCTGGGATCATGACCTGAGCCAAAGGCAGACGCTTAACGATTGAGCCACCCAGGCGCCCCTGATGCCCATTTTTAATGACATGTAATGGATAATGAACTCTGAGGGGTTTTTTTTTTTTCAGTTTTAACATTCATAAAATAGGAGTTTCAGAATTAGAGAAGCTTAGAGGTGCTATTCCAGTGGTTCCCAAATGTGCCGCCACATCTGAGTCACATGTGAAAAATGCTGATTCCTAGGCCTGATATCGGGAGATTCTTACTCAGCAGAATCTGGGATAAGACAAGATCCTTTGCTTCTTAAGAAGCTATCCGGGTCATTCAGAGGGTCAGCCTGGTTTGGGAATCAGTGGTCTAGCCTAACTTACCTCATCTGTAACTGGGATAAAATGAATTGTCCTAGACCCTAAGGACAGGGGCCTTAGACCTAGAACTAGGATGCTGCGCTCCAAAGCCAGCTCGCTGTCCTTACTGACAGACATTCTGTCAAACACACACTACTCACTCCTCAAGAGCTCCAGCCATCAGTATGTCTTCCTTGTCAGTCTTAACATCCAATTCTGGTTCTCCGCTAAGCAAAAGCTTCAAGTTATAAACAACCAGCAAAGTACCTAGTAGAAAAAAAGGACGTTTGACTTGTCAATACTTTAACTACACTAAATATTAGTCATGGTGCTATTATCTCATCTGTGGAATTAAGCCTACTCTAGACCAAATTTCCTTCTGTACTTCAGTAAATAATGTGCTTGGTAAGTTCCAGGATAGAAGTCTCAGGGCAAATTCCACTCTCTGCCAAAGAGTGTTGAGTTTCTACATTATAGGTCTTATTCCTATTCAAATCATTGTTAAGTCTCTCAATGTGAATTCTTACACTTCGGCACTTTTTCATAATTTGCATTACGAAAATTGTTAGGAGTCTGAGCTAAATTTGTATTGTGGGTAAAGGTCTCATGGATGGAATCAATGCACAAAAGAACAAAGATGAGTTTTAAAAATTTGTACAAATATGAAGAATTGTTTTTAGACCCCATAATAGGTGTTGGCAGACTTTTTCTGTAAAGGGCCAGACAACAAACATTTCAGGCTTTGCAGGCCAAATGGTCTCTGTCACGTCTACTCACAACTCACCTCCATCATTGTAGCATGAAAGCTGCCACAAAGAATACATAAATGAATGAGTGTGGCTGTATTCCAATAAAACTTTATTTACAAAAACAAGTATGGCTGGGTTTGACCTGCAGGCCACATTTGCTGATCCCTGCTCTAAAGCATAGCTAACAAAATAATCCAAATTCTTTACAAAATTGAGTATGGTACAAAGACAAACAGGATTGTCAGAGAAATTAAAAGAACAACCAATTACACCTCTCTTGGTAGTACTAAAACCCAAGAGAGAACAAACAGCACAGTGACTAAGAATGCCTATGTCTAAATCCTGCATCAACCATTTATTTACCAGTTGCAATGACCTTGGATAAATTTCCTAACCTCTTTGAACCTAATGTTTTCTAATCTCCACAATGGAGCACATGAATAATTTTGAGAATTAAATGTGTTAATTTTTACAAAGCATTTAGAAAAGTATTCAAGAAACAGTACACCCTTCTTTAGTATTTACATGAGCATTTCACAGTTAAAAGTCAACTAACAAATCACGTTAGCTGTCCTTAAAGTATGTCACGTATAGGGGCACCTGGGTGGCTCAGTTGGTTGAGCGTCTAACTCTTAATTTTGGTTCAGGTCATGATCGCAGGGTCGTGAGATGGAGCCCCAGATCAGTTTCTACGTTGAGCATGCAGCCTGCCTAAGATTCTCTCCCTCCATCTCCTTCTGCCCCTCCCCCACAGCTTGCACATACTCTCTTTCTAAAAATAAAAAAAGGTATATCATGTACACATTAATAAGACTAATATTTATTGAATTGCCACTAGTTTTCTTCTAAAAGAAAAGGGAAAGGATGGCAAAAAATCATTTTTAAACAAAATGCCACAAATAAGAGAAGAAATTTTGAAGGTAATACAAGCCAAGTCAGAAACAAATTTCTCAGAATTTTACTGAAACATTATATAAAACAAGGAGTTGCAAAAAGGAAAATGCACATAGCTTTCTCTAGAGTAGGATTCTTCTTGTTTCTAGATATGAAAGGTGGACATCTGGAGAAAGATTGGCACTGGAAAATGTTAGTAGACACAATGCATTCTACATGTTGAGTAGAAAGCTGGTGCAGGTTGAAAGAATACAGAAATAAAGAATATACAGAAAGATCTGTTAATGTGGAAAATGTCCACAAAGCTTTTGCTAACTCTCTGCCTCGGAAACCTGGATTCACTGGCTTATAAATTGCTGTCTTACATACGTGAGATCATCTAATCGTAGACACTACAGTAAACATCTCCTAACTCTGCTACGTAGTACAGGAATTATGGATCCCCTATGGTCACAGACTATGTCATCCTCTCTGTATCCAGTCTTCACCAAGCTCGTGCAAGTACAAGTCTTTCTCCCAGTATCAGGGACTTAGAGCTATTCACGTTTAGATTCACTTAAGACAAAATTCATGTGGATATAATGAATAGCTGCCCCCATGTGAGATCCTGCATGGTATTATAAATAGAAAAAATATAAAAGCGTACATAAAGTATCTTTTGAAAGACACTAAAAACAAATACTTCTAACAAAACTTCAGAGTTTTGATGATCTTACCACATTTCCCATAGATCACATCAAACTGCTGCATCAGTTCGGCTTCATTTCTAAATGGAGAGTACTTAAAAATTATAGACAATTCTGTTGAGAATTTTTGAGGATCATCTGTGACAGATTTTCTGGTTCTTGTTAACCATGAAGGTATTGGAACAACAACCTATTAAAAAAACGCACACATCAATTTACTATGAAGTACACAAATAAAAACCATCATCCTTTCATCTGATCCTAATTCAGTCCATTCTTCATCTAGCCAAATTACAAAACACAAAGTTAAAAGTTTATTTCCCCCTGTATTCTAGTTTTATAAGAGAAAGACACAAAACAATTATGTATACTCAGCGTTTTATTCTAAAATGCTCCATTGTCTAATGTGGGGACAGATGGAATCTACTTCAGCCCCTAATGAAATATGGGTAGGATGGCAGAAGGAACAACAGTATCAGCACTTTAGAAGTTGAACAGTACATGACAGCAAATCCAGGAAAACCAATCTGAGACCCATGCCAGAAGAGAAAACCAGCCTGTTTACAATTTGGAATATGCTAAAAGGCTCAGAGATTGATGGCATGAGTTCACTCTGGGGGTGGGATAAAGGGGGAAGTGAAACAGAAGTAGCATCCAGATCCCCATCTGGCACCAGCTCCCCCACCTCCACAGAGACTGGATGCTTATTCTCTGGAAAGAGTACAACAAAGCATTTCTGGATTAGAGGATATGTCAGGCACAGTTGTCAGGGGGACCTGAGATCAGAGGGATTAAGGTATACATACTGGATGCTGAGAACTCAGATCTCTTCTCTCATCTGGGTCCCAGAAAGCTGTCAGCTAGGCCTTCAGGCAGAAGACTGTAGGAGTCTTCTCTGACAAATTGGACTAGCCCAGAAGGAAAGACATAAAGAAAATTACATTGAGGGTTTCCCAATAATACAGCTCAGCTAGGGTTCACTATTGTGACACTCATAGCTGCAAAGCCCCCCACCCCCAACCCCACCCTCGCAGAGCTTTTGATCAAAATTGTATTGGAATACTCTATTTAAAGTATTCAGGATTGATAGCCATTGGAGAAAAGCCTCTAATATGATAAATACAGACCAAATAAACAAGCACAAACAAAGCAACTCATCGGAAACAAAAACCATACAAGGAAGATGAAAATTTCAGAGGAAAAGAAAAGTCAATCATTGTTAATATCTTCAGAGCACTAAAAGGAAATATTGTATCCATGAAACATAACTATATGTCTTTAAAAAAGAATACTGAAAGAATTTAACACACTTCTTGGAAATGAAGAATATGACTACAGAAAAATATTTATGAAAGGGTTGGAAGAATAAATGTTAGAAAATCTCCCAGAAAATAAAACACAGAAAATTGGAGAGAAAAGATAAGAAAATTAAAGAACCAGTTCTAGGTGTCCAAGATCTAAGAACAGAAGTTGCAAAAAGAGAGAAAAGAAAATACGAATGAAAGAAAATCATAAATATTACAGAAAAACATTCCCAACCTGAAGAACATGTATTTCCAGATTGAAAACGTCCAGTAAGCAACCAGCACAATGGATGCAAACAGACCCATGCAAAAGCAAAATACTTAACATCAGAACATTGGAGACAAAGAAGATTCTACTGCTTCAAAGAGTAGAAGGGGGGAAAAAAAAGAGTAAGTTACACACAAGACTCAGAAATTAAAATGGCTTCAGACTTCTCAATGACAATGCTAGAAATAAGAAGATAATGAAGCAATGACTTCCAATTCCTGAAAGAAAATTCACTCCAACCTACAAATAACAACAAGCTAAACTGAGTGTTCAGGTAGGATAAAAATATTTTCATGCATGTGAAGTCTCAAAACACTTGACTTCTCATGCATCCTTATTAAGAAAGCTAACAGAAGACATGTTGGACAAGGCAGGTCCTGGGAGCACAGCAGAACACCAGCCGTGGACAGCGGGAGTGAGGGGCAGCAAGAAGATTCCAGGGCAGAGTCTTCATGAAGGTGGAACAGTGAAGAATGTAGCTGGAGACTGGGGTTAACATAGTGATAAAGACGGAAAACCAAGCAAATACTCAGGACAATGCTAAGTACATAAAACACTAAGGAGACAATTACTAATTCCAGGGAAAAGAAAAAATTGTGCAGAAAAAGGAAAAAATTTGTTTATGACAGAATACAGTGTGAATAGTGTTTATATAGTCTTACAACGTAAATACTGAACATCAGCATAAGTAAAATGACAATGGAGCTACCTTGAAGGTGGAGAATTGGAAAGTATGTATGTGTGATACAAACAGATGAAATAATAATATATAGATCCTTTTATAATGAGCAATTAATACATAATACATCAAATCAAGAAGTAGTAATACAAGTATGTTATATAGAGATATGCAGGAAAATAGTGAAAAAAATCAGCTAATATTGTTGAAAGAGTTTGCCTGGGTCAAAGTAGAAATGGGAAGGGGTTCCTGGTTTTAGTTTTTGTTTTTTTTTTTTTTAAAAAAAGGAAATGGCCCATGTTAGGAAAGCTATAACCTCAGCTTTGGCCCAATTTTCCATGCCTTTACATATATAAATGGCAACATAAATGCTTAAAGCATTGCTTTTCTTTCTAACAGTCTCCCACTCAGCTACTCCCTATCGCCTACAGATTTGTTGCTTAGCCAGCCCCACCCCACCGCGGCCGGTGGGCATGCTGCACCCTTGGGGGACAACCTCACATCCCCACTGTCCTTCCAACCCCATACTCCTGTCCAGGTCTGAGAGCTGCTGCGTGCCACTTCTCTCCACATACCAGCCTTTACAGCTGCAAGTGGTGCTCACTGCATAAAACCCTCATTGACCAATCGAGGCTCTCTAATCCCTCCATCCATACCTTTGCTTTTGACAATTTTGTAACAGCAGAAATGCATACTCACTGTACAGCATTCTTTTTAAACACCCTCATTTTGTTATGTATCCAATTCACATGTGTTTGCCTATATTTTATGACCCCTTTGATGGTCAGATGATCTTCTGCTGGTTTTCTACCTTCCACAGGGTCTAACCAGTGCTGGGTCGTTCCTTAACCTGCATTCACTGTATTGAATTACACTGACATTGTGAGTAGTAAAACTCAGACACTACAAATTAATAAAGCGTAGCTAGGTCATCAAATGGAGTTGAAATTATGGTTACTGGGTTACAGTGTTAAATCTATTTTGCACTCAGTTTCTTTAGATTTTGTATTCCAAGTCTTTTAATCCAATATTTATTTTTAAAATGATAATCCATTTATGGCACAAATGGTGGAAATGTTTTGCAGGCTCCTTCCAAAAAGCTCACTGTGCCAAAGGGAGCCTCTTATTCTGGGAGATTCGGGTACATGGATAATGAAAATAACATTCTGAAAACTGCCTTGAGTTAATAACCCACTCAAGAATGGTCAACAGGGGGGCACCTGGGTGGCTCAGTTGGTTACACACCTGATTTGGCTCAGGTCATGATCCCAGGGTCCCGGGATCGAGTCCTGTGTCAGGCTCCCTGCTCAGCAAGGAGCCTGCTTCTCCCTCTTCCTCTGCCCCTCTCACCCCTGCTCATGCTCACGCTCTCTCTCTCTCTCTCTCTCAAATAAATAAATAAAATCTATCTTAAAAAAAATGCTACCCAAGAAAAATAAGTGGCCACGGATTCTTAAAAAAAAAAAAATTGGTCAACAGGACATGCCTCCAATGACCCCCCCGCCAGAATGTCCAGCCACCCTCTCTCCACTTCCCAAATACATTCCTAAATCATAATCAGAAAAGAACTGCTGTAGACTTCACCTCCTGAGATGGTAAATGAAAACAACACTGTTACCATGGAAACCAAAGGAAAATCTCAAGTCTTACCTCAGTAAGACCTTCTCTTTCACAGAATGTCTGAGAAAAAAACACACAGGTCATCGTTTCTTCCTTCTTTGTAAAAAGAATAAAGTCTTTCCCAATCCTCATGGATCCACTATATTAAAAAACAAGAACATACTGGTTTACCTCTCAAACACTGAAAAGAAAAAATAGGCGGGCACGAAACTGTGCACTGTAATGAATTGTTCTTTCATAGAAGTAACTCCCCTGTTTTGCTGACCCATCACCAAAAGGGTGAAAATATTATTTTTTTCCTCAAAGTAGAGCAGATGGATTTGAACCAATCTAGCTCCACACCCTTGCTTGAGACAGGGCAGCTAGAAATAAGGGGCTGTCCAGGACTCAAGAAAAGAACAATCATCTGTCCGTAGCAGGTGTCACATGGGTGACGATATACCCTTATCCTCACCTTACACTGAGGCAGACTAATAAAATAAGCTGTGGACACATAATTACACCTGCAATAACATATGCTCTGAAAAACAAGAGAAACATAGAGATTCAAGGAAGCTCTGAAGTACAGGGCTTCTGCTTCCTGAGAGACAATTCATCCCCTATATGAGAATTAAATTTACAAATATTGTAAAGATTCAAGTCAGTTATCGGTATGGAAATCCCAAAACAAGGTAGGACTCTCCAGTTTATATATATGTTTTGAGCTTCACAAACCTTATCATTCTGTATAAGATTGCCTTTACATAAATATTGTTCCCAGTATCAACAATACATGCCTTAAAGGAAAAAAAAAATTCTCACCTTTTAAGACCATTACCATATTGCCCAATAAACTTCAAGGTTGATGACCGTTTCTTGGATGTTCCAAAGTAAATGATATCTGAAGCTTCCTCTATAATTGACAAAGACATATAGGTGGTTAGAAATTATGAATCATTGACACTGGCCACAGGTCCAGTTGTCAGGATGTCACACATATCTCAGGACATTAGGGCAAATCCATACCTCTTGGGTCAGCCCAGTGACAAGGATTCTTGTCAGGCTCCATGATCTCTGACCAGGATCTTAACTGTAATATACTGAAGGAGGTCAGATAGACCTAGCCATATGACCTTGGGTAAACAGAGTTTAAACTCTGAGTCTTAATTGCCTCGTCTCTAAAAGGGAACTACTAAGACCTAGATCATAGGGTTGTTGATGAAGACAAATACACAAAAGGAGATCATCTGTTTGTGAAACCCTGAACACAGTACATGCCACTTGATAAGTGCCAATAAATTATACGTGTTAAAATTATCTGGGGGCACCTGGGTGGCTCAGTCGTTGGGCGTCTGCCTTCGGCTCGGGTCGTGATCCCGGCGTCCTGGGATCGAGCCCTGCATCGGGCTCCCTGCTCGGCGGGGAGCCTGCTTCTCCCTCTCCCACTCCCCCCTGCTTGTGTTCCCTCTCTCACTGTCTCTCTCTGTCAAATAAATAAATAAAATCTTTAAAAAAAAAAAAAATTATCTGTACCACTAGTCATTTTCCATGAATCTGGCCCTTAGCCAGCTCCATGGAAGACCAAGCAGGGCAGAATGGCTTCTGGTCTGACACTCCCTGGGGATGAAGGGCCACTTGTTCCAGACTCTCAGAGTCATTCTCCAGATCTCTCCAGGGCATTCGGAAATTCTAGAGAAGAATCATCTGAACTTCAAAATATACATACCCCCGGAAGCCAGAATGCTCCTAGGGACACAAGGAAAGATAGAAATGGGTCTCCCAGTTGGCCTACCTGAATGTGTGCTCTGGAACTCTGGAAATGTTCTGAAGACCAGTGTCAGTCTGTGTGCAGACATGCACACCTGGTGTGTGGTATGTAAGGGCTACCAGATACTCTGCTTATCTGAAGCCAACTGGACATTCTATCACATGTTCTTATAAAGGGCTGGGTATTAGGTGAGGGTATCCATAATAACAACATTAGCTACCATTTACTGTTTAGTATATGCTAGGGACTATATCATATACTTTACATGCACTGCCTAGTCAATATTTATAACAAACCTACATAGTTGATATTATGATGACGATCTGCATGTTACGGATGAGGAAATTTAAGTTCAAAGATTGTATGTAACATGCCCAAGGTGAAACAGCCTATGAATGCTACTGTAAGGATAACAATCCAAGGTTGTCAGAGACCATATTCCGTGGTTTTCAAAGCACATCTCACAGACTCCCACGTATGGTGGCCGGAGTTCTGGGCACAGGTATAGAACACTGACATGACCCCTGCCCATAGCAATTTATGTCATGATAGGAAAAACAGATTAGAAACAAATAAACAAGATAATTTTTAAAAGCATTAAGTGAAGAAAATAAAACCAGGATAAGGTAACAGAGAATTAACAGGAGTGTGGCCCTCAGACAGAATGATCAGGGAAGGCCTCTTTCGTAAGGTGACATCTGAAATGAGCTTCAAATGAAGGGCCAGCAGGTATGGCTGGAGTGTTATAAGCAAAGGAGTAAGTGCCATGAGAAACGGCCAAAGAGGTGGACAAAGGCCAAATAATGCAAGAAACTGGAAGCATTACTGGGCGTATAAATTATATCCCAAAGTACAGAAAAACCACTAAGGGCTTTAAAAAGGGGAAGGATATGATGTGATTTATATTATAGATATCTTTTTTTTTAAAGATTTTATTTATTTATTTGACAGACAGAGAGAGAGAACACAAGCAGGGGGAGCAGCAGAGGGAGAAAGAGAAGCAGGCTCCCCACTGAGCAGGGAGGCCAATGCGGGACTTGATCCCAGAACCCTGAGATCATGACCCGAGTCGAAGGCAGACGCTTCACCGACTGAGCCACCCAGGCGTCCCGATTTTCCAATCAATGTTAACAGTAATTGTTCTCTCAACACTAGTAGACTTTTAAAAATAGTCCTGTATACGTCGGGGTGCCTGGGTGGCTCAGTTGGTTAAGCAGCTGCCTTTGGCTCAGGTCATGATCCCAGGATCCTGGGATCGAGCCCCACATCAGGTTCCATGCTCAGTGGGAAGCCTGCTTCTCCCTCTCCCACGCCCCCTGCTTGTGTTCCCTCTCTCACACTCTCTGTCAAATAAATAAATAAAATCTTTAAAAAAAAAAAAATTGTCCTGTATATGTCAACTGAAGTATGAGTTCCTTCTGAAGATTTGAATATTTGCCACTTTTCTGTGTTTTCATCATTTTGCTCATGGCTGTATTATAAAAGGAGCTGCTTCTTTTTCTTTTTTCTTTTTTCTTTAAGGAAGTGCCTTAGAATATATCAGATATTCTGTTATTTAAACATTCAGAAAAATGAACTAAATGGTCAGCCTAGACGTGAAAAACAAAACTGTTTTTTCATCATGATTTTCTCACAGTCTTCTTTCTCTTATTTAAAACTAAGGAACCAACAATACTTTGAGTCAAAATCACCTGGAAAAATCAAAATTATCCTGACAAAGTCAGAACGAGACCTGAGTAAGTGATTTCAGCATTTTCTAAACTTGCTAATAATCTCTGACTATTCATACCAAGGGAGCACTTCAGAGACTAGCAAGAAGACAACTGCTTTACTTTGTATTCTGAGCTTCCAGCAGTGATGAGCATCCTTTCCGCTGCTATAGATCAGACCAGAACTGTTCCCTATTACTTGAACTCCCCTCATGATTTTTTTAATCTAGTGGTCAAAAATCCTGTTTTGTGGGTCATAGACAAGTGTTAAACAAGAATTCAGGGATAAGCTATCCCAAATGAGTCAAAGCCCTTATCAGAGGGAATAATATTTCAATTTCACAGGATGCCTGGGTGGCTCAGTTGGCTCAGGTCATGATCCCAGAGTCCTGGGACCGAGCCTCACACCGGGCTCCCTATTCCGCAGGGAGCCTGCTTCTCCCTCTGCTTGCCGCTCCCCCCGCTTGTGCTCGCTCTCTCTCGCTCCCCCCTCTGACAAATAAACAAACAATAAAATCTTCAAAAAAAAAAGAATTCAATTTCACAGTAAACTGGTATTGTGCACGTACTGTGTGTTGCATTTTGGCTAGCCTTGAAGGTACCAAAAAAAAAAAAAAAATCATGCAATGAATTGTAGACGTGTTCATTATGGTGAGAATAGTTGACTGAATCTACTAACCCTTTGAACATGCCGAGAAAAAACAAACCGCTAAAAACAAGGAGAGGTAACCTCTTCCTCAAGGTTAAGCAGAAAATTAAAAATAGCCTGAAGGCACTGGAAACTGCCTCAGGGCTCTTGTAAGCAATACCTGAAGGGCAAGCTCAAACAATCTCAAAATCCATCCAGTTACCCCGCCTTTTCCATTCATTTCCCAGATGTTTTTTCTTACGAGTAATCATACCTTCTTCTTTTCATCTTTCTTGCAATATTTATCTACATTCCCTTTTTGTCTTGGTTTAGATGATTATAATGAATTTACTCTGTCAGCTGGAATATTTAAATCTAGAAAGTTCAACAATATGTTAAGTCTGGGGTTTATTTTCCCTTAATAGCTCCATACCTGTTTTTGCATAGATAACTCAATTTATTTTTATTTATTTTATGGATTTTCTGTTTCCCCGAACAGCCAGTTAGGTATCTGGATAATTAACTTACCAGGGCTCATACCACATCCATCATCCAGGAAGCACAACATGAATCCACCCTGCAGTTTTTCATTATCCACTGTAAGAGAAAGCAGTTATTACTGATAAATATTGACCTTAATTTGTTCATCAGAAAGTCATGCTGCTCACACAATTATCTGTCCTCCTCAAAGGCAGCCGCGGGGTGACAGCGTTAGGGCACAATGATGGCACCCAGAAAGGTGTCCTGGCTACAGTTTCTCAGGACACTGCAGGGGGAAGACAGTCATGCACCAAGAAGGCTTTAAATTAACATAAAACCTCTACACATTAATAAATTATGTATACAGTGGGGCATGCCCTGCTCCTGGAATCTGACTGGCCTTTAAACTTCAGGTATTTCCCACCCTGGGGGCAGGAATAAAGGGAAATGGTGATGTGACCCCAGGATCCCTCCATCCCACTGATCCACCTTTATGCCCTTCCACCAAAGCACTAATTCTAAAGCCAATCCAGGCCATTCTTATTAAATTCCTCAGGCTCTCCTCTAAGTAGTTAATCCCCATAAGAGCCATTTGTGTGTGCTTCCTAGTGGCAGCAAATATTTGCCTCTTGAAAATGCATTTGATTTTTGAAAATGGCTATTCTGGTGATTAAGAGATATCATTAAGATAAGAGAAAATAATCTCTTGTTTAAAAAAAAATGGAAGGGTGTAACTAAAACTAATGAGACTAACTTTAACGCTTAGTTTGTGATCTGGCTCTGAGAGGAATTGCAACATTTGGATCTATGACTTCTACCACATCTCTCTCCCTCTCTCTCTCTTTTTTTTTTTTTTTTGATAATAGCTTGAGAAAGAGCTTACACACACAAACTGCCTATGTGTAAAGTGTACAATGGAATGAACTGTGGCATATGTACATACCCATGAAATCATCATCACAATCAAGGCAGTGAACATACCCATCACCTCAGACGTTTCCTCAGGTCACTCTACAGTCTCTCCCTTCTGCCCCTTCCATGCCCATCCCCCTACCCCAACCTCAGGCAGCCACGGATTTGCTAACTCTGTACCTATAATTCAGTTGTAGCACATTTGTTAAGTCAACTGTGTTCAACGGTCACACCTGAACTATATTTTAAAAGTTAAATAATGTTCAAGATAATCTATAAATACATATCTAAAATATGTACCTAAGCTTTCCGGGTTCATAATTTTATGGTCACATGCCCACTTCTAATCCCCTACCACCCCCACTAATTCCCTCCCTGTCTATAAGCACTTTGGATCTTCCCTACCATTTCATTTTCCCAGTTCTTCTCTCTGCCTCGTTGTCCGGAGTGCTTACCTCAACTCCTGTATCAGAATATTCCTCCCCCATTGTAGGTCTTTGCTCTGTGCAACCCCCACCTCTGGCAGAGGATGACATTCTCCGCTATTCAACAAGGGGAAACCAACTCTTGTGGAGTTCTTTGCACAGTGTGGTAGTTCTCAACCATGGCTGAACATTTTAACCGCACAGAGATACTCCAAATTAACTGGTCTTGGGTGAGGCTCAGGAATAAACATCCCCCCCAATTATCCTACTGTGTATCAGCACTGGGAACCACCTGATCCAAGCCTCATGTGGCCCTACATAGATGCAACAATTGATTTTGTAGCTCTTGGAATAAAGTTCTCATGCAAGGAGCTTGCAGAAAGAAGGGCATTTCTTTGGTGAATAGGTGGGAAAGACTCAAAATTCCCAAGAGATGTATACAGTGCTTACTTTTTCTATAAACCCTAGTGAAGGACTACAGACAATCACAGCCTCGAAATGTAATATTCCCCTACTGTCCACCCTGAAGCTTGGCCTTACTTCAATTCCTTAAAACTAAGGATTCCAGATAAATTTCCATTATCTGTTAAATATGCATGTCCAAAACAAACCCCAGCACCTTCTCCCTCGTCAGACTTACTTCTGATGTTTCCTGTTCAATAAATGGCCATCACTCTACCATTAGGCTTCAGCTGCCCAAGTCAAAACCTCAGGATTGCCATGTCTTCTCAATTCCACCTCCTTAAAGCCTCTCAAGTCTGACCACTTTCTCTACCACCATGACACTGCCTTAGCTCAGGAAACCATCATCTCTCTTGTCGATTACAGCAACAGCGGCCTCACTCCTTGCTCGCCCTAAGAGCAGAGCGCCGACCAATGTGCATTTCACAATAATTTTATGTGTCAACTTGGTTAAATTCTGGTACCCAGCTGTTCAGCCAAACATTAGTCTAGACGTTGCTCTGAAAACATTTGTGGATATAATTAACATTTACAATCCGTTGACTTTAAGTAAAGCAAATAACTTCCATAGTGTGGGTGAGCCTCATCCAATCAGTTGAAGGCCTTCAAGGCAAAGACTGAGGTTCCCCAAAGAAGCAATTTTCTGCGTCAAGATGGCAACTCAGAAATTGCGCTTGAGTTTCCAGGTTGCTGGCCTACCCTAAAGATTTAGAACTTGACACTGCACATCAACTCTTAGTTGGATTTCCAACTAAGCTGGATAAGTAAGTAGGGCCAGGTGCCCTACAGATTTCAACTGCATCAGCCCCCACAATCATGTGAGCCAATTCCTTAAAATCCCTCCCTCTCAACTCTCCCCAAACGCTCTATCAATATCTACAGATGTAGACAGATACAGATACATATCGATATAGAAATACACATACATTGCTAGAGGGGAGGGAGGGAGGCAGATCATATCTGTCCATCTAGCTGTCTGTCTACCTCTCTGTCCATTTAGCTATCTCCTACTGGTTCTGTTTCTCTGAAGAATCCTGATGAATACACTCTCCAAGCTCACCTCGTCACTCCCTCCCCACACCCATACTGCAACCTTCCATTTCCACGCAAATTTCTCTTTAACTAATCTTGAGCATCTCGAACATTTTTGCAACTCCGTTGGTGTTCTATGTTCTCTCCATATTCAAGCCCCTGCCTATCCTGCCCCTTTTCGCTCTCCACCCGATTCACCAGGCGGAAGCCTATTTCCCCTTTAGCTTATTAGATCCAGTAAGGTTCCTTCTTGGACACCTTCCTCATTCTTACACATCATCGGGCGCCCACAATGTGCATTTTCTTTGCAGTTTGTGCTTTCCGCCTGCTCGTGTATCTCTTTTCTTTTCAAACCAGTGGCTCTTACTTTTTAAAACACAGTTGCCTCAGAGGTATGGTGAAAGCTAAGGGCCCTTCTCCCATGAAAGTAAAGATATACACCATATTTTCTACAGACCCCCGCACTAGGATGCCAATTTCTTAAGAGCAGGCACCGTGTGTACTTAACACTTAACCCAGTGTCTGCCACTTGGTAAGCACTTTAAAAAAAAAAGCATTGAATGCAAATCCATGTTTACTAGAACCAATACATATGAACAGATAAAACAACAATGGCCAAACATGTTTAGTTTGAATTTTATACTCCTCCTTCCAGTTACCCGAAGACAACTTAAGATTGGAAAGTAATTCAGGGGCCTCAGTAAATAATTTGAAAACTATTTATTTTTATTTATCCCCATATCAATTCTATCTATTGCTGCATAAGCCCTGACCCTGGCTTATTATTTTTTAAGAAAAAGCAATTTGCTAAGTTGATAGCCATATTGTGATTTGCTGCAATAAAACAATTTATAACATGAATAGGTACTTTTTTTATGAATAGGTAATATAAAACCAAAAATCTTAAGTTCAGTTTTTCACAAAACACATAACCTAAATAAAGAAAGAAGTGCCATTTTGAAGTCAAATGGCAAAGACTGTGTGTGTGTGTGTGTGTGTGTATGCCAAGTGCTAGAAAAAGTTAGGGAAATGAGTACTACCATGCCCTGCTGGTGTCCTGCCATAAACCCAAAAGAACATAACAAGTGAATTCCAATGACATTTGTTGTACTTTGTGATTTTGGATAATTCTTCTCAACCCTTCGACCCTTCATCAATATGTGTGCTCGGGAGGCACCTGGTGGGCTCAGTCGGTTAAGTGTCTGCCTTCAGCTCAGGTCATGATCCCAGATCCTGGGATCGAGCCCAAGTCAGGCTCCCTGCTCACTGGGGAGTCTGCTTCTCCCTCTCCCTCTGCCCCTTCCTTCCCCCACCCCCCACCATGCTTGCTCTCTCGCGCTCTCTCTCTCTCACACATAAATAAATAAAATCTTTAAAAATATATATATGCATGCTCTGACTGAAATGCAACTTAAATCTTTTCCCCTTCTCCATTTCTAGGACCACTGCCCTACTTCAAATTCTGACTAAATCTTCCGTAGGTCATTTCCATAGCCCCACACCCCTGCTATCCCTTCATTCACACTTCTACAGACCATCCCACATGCTATGGCTGGAGAAGCTTTCTTTGAAAAGGGCACATTTCTAATTTGCCAAATGACATTGCTCAAAATTCTTCAATGGTCACTGTCTATAGAAAAAAACCTTAGCATGGCATTGAAGGTGCTCATCTATTTGGCTCTAACAATTAGCTTTAGTCAACCTAGCCTACTCATTGTTCTCTGCTTTTTCTCCAAATATCTACACAGCTCGCTCCCTCACCTCTTTCAGGTCTTTGACGGTACATCACCTGGTTAGAGAAACTCTCCCTGTTCACCTCATGAAAAATAGTACACCCTGCCAATCGCTCTCTGTTCTCTTTTCCCACTTTCTTTTTCCTTTTAGCACTTTTCATTGCTTGGTGTATCATTTGTTCACTTCCTTATTGTCTCTCTCTCCCCCGTGAGAACGCACATTCCTGAGAACACACATTTAGTCACACATGTTGCTCCGTGCTCTGTCGCTAGCACCTGGAGTAACTAATTTGTTCATTCGTGACAGACACTCAATAAACTGTTACTGAATGAATGAATCTCTGAAATTATCTATCTCCATCCTCTTTCTCACAATAATTCCTCAGACAGGGATATTCTTTTTTTTTTTACACTACTTGACAAAAACCACATCTATATTTTAGGCCCTAGCTCTTTAATATGAGATACTCTTTCTCTGTGTTCCTACCATATTTTGAGTCTCTCTTGGGCAAGAAACACTTATTCTATTTTACACTATCTGATGGGATATGTAAGGGAAGACCACTTCTTCTCCACTACTGGTATTTCCTTCCATGTGGAATGGAGTGCCATTAATATTAGTAAAGGGGCCCTTCTCTGTCCCTTGACTCACTTATCACTCATCTGACTGGTAATCTAGGGAAGAATCACCTAGGGAGGCTCAGTTCAGAGCTCTCCTGTTCCCTCTTGGGAGTGAGCTGCCTGCAGGTGCATGAGCTCTGCTCCGCTCACTCCAGGCAGACCAGTGTTGAGGGGAAGCCTGACTCCACAGGTTGGGCGAGTATCTGATTCTGCGGTATGATCAGCAAATCTGCCGGATTTCTCACACTAAGCTCCATTTTTCGACAAATGGAGCTAGCATTTTTGAATAATAAAGACTGACTAGCATTTTTGAATGAAAAATAAAGACTGACCCTCTTGACCTTCTCAAACTTTTCAGAACCTGAAGAGTAGAAAGGGAAGAAGAGCATTCACTTATTATGTTTTCTCAGATGTCTCGAGATGTCCATGTCTCTCTGCCTTATGAACCAGAAGCACCCACCTAACACAGGATCTTTTTTTTTTTTTTCTTTTTAAAGTATGCTTCACCACCCAATATGGGGTTTGAACTCACAACTCTGAGATCAAGACTTGAGATCAAGAGTTGGATGCTCTATCAACTGAGCCATCCAGGCACCCCACAGGATCTTAAACACTTAAAAAATTGAATTGAACTGAGCTGCTTTTTAATTATAGATATAGATTTACATCGTGGACCATATCCTCTTGCCTGTGATCAACAGCCAATGTTTTTAGGACAGCTGACAGAATCAGGGTTGGGGATCAGTTTTAACACTGCAGACATTTATCCAGGTAGTTATTAAATACAAGACTGGATCGCAGAACCTAAATTCATTTGCATCATATTCTAATGAACTAATAAGTACAATAATTTGGTGACTAAAAATGAAGTCAGTGAAGAAAACATATCTCGTTTGAATTTTAGAACCCTCAAACATTCATACTTCACATTCACTTACACGCTTTAAAACTGTGATAAGTTGAGAATGATGTATACTTAATTATGAATAACCATTAAGTTAATGTGTTTTTTAAAATAAAACTGTTTTCTTGTGGCAGGCAAATTGATGGTTCCACATCACTCTGATGCTTTCACAAAACCCTGGAAGATCTAATTTTGTAAATGGGTCCCCTAACAAGTGAACAATTCCACTCTCAGAGTATACTTTTCTCAACCTGGCTCCCCATAGGGTCACTGTACTCACAAAGCACTTAAATTACATTAAAAATCTATAAAAAGTGCTTTGATTTCATGAAATAAAATAAAAGCAAAATAACTATAGGCTTTTCCATTAGAAGGAAAAAAAAAAAAAAGGAAGAAGACAAATATGCTCACCTGAAAACACATCAAGTCTTGCAGCCCCTGCATCTCTGGAAACAATATAAAAATATCACTGCTTCAATATGAAATTATGTTTTAAAAAATTACATTAATCTGAATTGCTTATGTGAGGTATAACCTATTGTCAGATAGCTAACAATAGAGAAATCCACTTAAATTGCTTCAAGACAATTACTAAAATGTTTTGCTCTACATTTATGTACTAAGACCTATGATCACTCATCATTTGAGAATGTTACAAAACCCTGAAACTTGGAAATTTAAAAGAAGAGATGGAATTTAGTGGTAGTTACACAAAAAGCTCATTAAAAATGGATATGAATATTAAAAAAAAATTAGTTGGCTAATAATCCATAAATTGCAGAAAGATTTTCATCATATATTTTAGTCCCCCCAAAAATGAAAAGAAAAAGCAAATTACTAAGTAATATGTACTGTATGATCACATGTTTTTAAAGAACATCCATGATATACATGTCTATATATGTAAGAAAATAAATAAAAACAGTGGTTTTCTCTAGACCAGAGGTTGGCAAATTATGGTCCAAAAGCCAAATGTGGCCCACCAACTGTTTCTGTAAATAAAGTTTTATTGGAACACAATCATGCCCATTCATGTACATATTGCCTATGGCTGCCTTCACACCACAGTGGCAAAGTTGAGTGGTTTCAACAGAGAACACATGGCCTGCAAAGGGGAAAATATTTACTATCTGGTCTTTTACAGAGAAGCATGTTGATACCACCTCCCCCACGCCATGTGATGAGATTACTGCTGACCTTCTTTTTCTTATTATTTTCTCAGTTTTCTACAACTCACAGATATTGTGCATTTTTTTAATTATTTTTTTAAGTAGAAATTTTAGAAGAAAAAGAACAAGAGCCAAAAGACCCTGGTTTCAATGTGAGGGATGAAGACAATGAGGACGGTAGTCTTAGCTGGTGCAGAAGTGGATGTGTTGAGTAAGTGAAGCTCAGAATAATAAAAACCACTGGGACTCTAATCGGGAAATTTGAGTCTCTCCCAAAACTTCCTCCAATTCCAACCCAAAACTACACCAGATAAGTCTGACTAGGTACACTGACTTGTTCTACAAGCCTTCAAAGTTGGCCCTTAGCTCCTTCCTCCAGTCAACTGCTCTTTTAAGCTCTTCCTTTATGGAAATTCTGGAGGCACTACTGCCATTTCTTGGAGCATTTTCTGTGTGTCAAATAAGCACTGAATGAAGTATTTTTAAGCCTTCTCTCCTAATCCTTACCACAATCCCATGACACATAAGTATCATTGTCTCCATTATATAATTATACATTATACAAAATACCATGCATACAATAGGTGCTCAGTAATGCCACTGCCCCGAAATGGAAGTTTTCAAAGGAAGAGTTTCTTCATAGAGAAATGCCATGGGATAAGATATAGAAAAATCATTCACCTCTACAGCATATTAAGACATTTTATAATAAGCTTTGTGCTTTAGCCCCGGTACTTTCTCTCTGATCAGCTGGCATATCAGGAAGAGGCCCCGAACCACTCTTCCTATACTGCCACACTTTTTGTCCTGCTGTCTACAACATTCTTTTAATATCCTCCAGTTTTAATTTTGACAACCACAGGAAACCATCACACTCTTAAATAAAATGATATAAAATAATTTCTTAGAATAACACAGGGACTTTATAAAGACCTTCTTCATGAGAACAACTAAGCATCTTGAGTAAGTCTATTAAACAGCTTCATGTGATGTCAATTACTAGCATCTGAGCAGCCTTGGCAAACTGCAATGTCTGCTGCAGAGAGAGGAACTGAGGAGTTCAGGCTGGCTGTGGGGATCGCTAGGAGCCACAGAGCTGAAGGCACAGACTAGTCCCAACAGAGCACCTGCTATGCGCCTGAGCCCACTGAGCAACGTCGAGGCTGCTACTTCTAATCTTTAAAAAAAGGGGGGGGGGAGTGAGGGCAGGGGACCCAGATTTCTTATGTGGCACCTCCTGTTCCTTAAACTTTATAAACAATCCCTTCTTTGCATCCTTTTCTTTATAACTCCCATGCAAACTCTCACCCTGTGTTAAACAGGAAACAGGTTAGACTTGGTCAGAGGCCTGCCAGTTTACAGATGCTGCTCTGAGAACTGTTTTATTGATCACATTTCTCTCACTCCCCTGGGTCTGAAGTCAATTTTTCCTTGCCAATCTCCTTCTACTACATAGAGGTGATTTACAGACGAGCCTTACCTTGCATTGTCCAGCAATTCGGCCAGCGCTCCAAAAATGAAACTGTGCGTGGTGCTGATAAAGAAAGAGGGAAAACCGAAAGTTAAACCAACTCTGTAACCAGTGTAAAAGCTTCAAGATAACTTGCAGACAAACGTACTCCAGTTCAGGACAGATAATCAATTAAGGACTTACTCTAGAAACAACTTTCTCAGCACGGTCAAGATTCTGAAGTAGATGCGGTCTGTTATAAAGCCAAGGCTAAGAACATGATTGCCAAAATAGCCTGTCTGTTCCTAATAAAACAAAGACTTCAAGGACTTTACTGTACTTACAGCACTGATGTTTTAAAATTGCTTTATAAGCATTTATGCAAGGTTTTTTGGAGAACTTGTCATTAAAATTGTATTATTTAAGGTCAAATTATTTCTGAGAGATCTTGATCTAAATCCTGGTACACCAAAAGGCCCTAAGACTCCATCTGCAGGCACAGTCACTGGCAGGGGACCCCTGTTTGCCCCATTAATCTCTATTTTTCTGTAGGCCCTTTTCTCTTCTGAATTACCTGTGGTCACTCCTCCCTGTACCCCCTCATGCTAGGTCCTGGGTAACAGAGCACACTGGACAGCCCTCACTACTAATGCTCTGAAGGCTGAATATTCACCTGTGGGTGAAATCAGGCTGCCTTCAGGGGCCCACACTTGCTTTTCATTTCTTGATATGGATATCTCAATCAGCAGCATTTTTTGTGGTATCTTTATCACAGCATTAAGGGAGGATTCGGTCTGCAATTTTCTTTTTATACTTAGTAAACAGGTAACAGAAGCAAGAGAGACCCATTTATCAAAATATATCTGCTCATATGTCGGGAAGAAAGATCATCAGCAATGTCTCAGAGATTCCAAAAACCCCAGGCCACAAGACAATACACTAGCTGAAAGTTTATTTTATTTTATTTTTAAGATTTATTTTAGAGAGAAAGAGAGAGCGCTAACAAGCAGGAGGAGGGGCAGAGGAGGAAAGAGAATCCTCAAGCAGACTGAGCAGGAAGACCAGCTCCGGGCTGGATCGCAGGACCCTGAGATCACAACCTGAGCCAAAATCAAGAGTTGGACGCTTAACCGACTGCACCACCCGGGTGCCCCTCCATTTTGGGGGAATTTTAAACTTTAAACACATGCTGATGTGGGGTCTCTTGACTCAAGTCAGCTTTCCAGTTTATAATTTAAAAAATAACTAAATACAATTGCTGTGAAAAGATGGCCTTCACTCAAAAGAAATCTAGTGTATAAAAATCTAAAACAGAGCAAAAGTGAAGGTTATATGCTTTACAAAACCGCCCCTTGAAACCACAAGACTTTCTAGTGAATTTAAAACACACGATTCAATATACAAAAATTCAACATAAACAATACTTCAGGAAAGTAACTGTAATCATTCTGACCAAGAAGTGCCATAGAAGTTTCTATATTATTTCACTCAAGAGATTTTAACACACTGCCCGCCATGTGCCAGTGTGGACAGACAAGGTCTTGTCTGTCTGAGTCCCCCTTGGAACTCAAGCCAGTGGAGGGATATAGAAAAACATACAAGTAAACAAACAAAGATGATATGGCAGATCGTGGTTAGATGCTAGGAAGGAAGGGTGATGAGGAAGAGTAATGTAAGGAGAGGACATGGTGGTCAGGGAGAGCCTCTCTTCATAGAAGACGTTTAAATTGAACCCTGAAGGCTGAGAACTCAGTCCCTGGCAGAGCTGGAGTGGAAACGCTGCAGCGAGAGAAGCAGCTGCAAAGACACTGACACAGAAAGGAGCCAAGGAGGCCAGTGTGCTCTGGCTACGTACGGTAAAACAGGGAGATGATGCTGGGATGCGGGGTGGCCGGCCATGCACTGCCCTCTACTCCACGCTCAGGAGCTTGTACTCAGCCTACATGTAACTGGAAACCACGGTCATGTTTTAAGAAGAGCGACATATCTGGCTTACTTTTTTAAAAATCTCACTCGGAGGGGAGCCTGGGTGGCTCAGTTGGTGAAGCGTCTGCCTTCAGCTCAGGTCATGATTTTGGGGTTCTGGGATTGAGCCCTGCATCATCAGGCTCCCTGCTCAGCGCTTCTCCCTCTGTCTCTGCTCCTGCTGCCCCCCAGCTCGTGCTCTCTAATAAATAAAATCTTTTTTAAGAAATAAAATAAAAATCTCACTCTGGCAGCTCTCAGGAAAATGGACCATCGGGGAGCAAGAATGGGAAGCAGAGAACCCAGTTTAGAGGCTACGTGGAGCATCTCCCGGGGAGACGGCAGCCGGTGTGGACCGAAGTCAATGGCAGGGGCAATGCAGAGGAATGGATGCATCGGAGACATAGTTAGAGACAGGGTGAAGAGGATCTGACGTTGAACTAGATGTGGGAGTGAAACAAGAGAGAAAAAAAAAAATCACTCCTGCCTTGACTGAGGGAACTCGCAAACAAAAATCTATCTGGAGAAGCTGAGAAGATACCAACTGGTATCTGATTTTGTGGTTGTTGCTTCACACTACTGTCACTTTTGTTATTAAGTTATCGGGCCACCAACTGATAACGGGATCCAGGGAAGGGGGAACCTACTGGGACAGGAAGCGCCTGGGGAACAGCAGCTGCGGTAACAACACAACACTGAGGCTGAGGAAGTTTCCTGAGATAAAATCCACAGCCCTTCCAGCATTCCACCCGCTATTTTTCTTAAACTCTACTCAAAATTGCTATTTCGTCATTTGTCTTCCACCTCAGTTAACCTTTTAAATATCTGTTCCAGCCTTTCCAGCTTGAAATTATTCTCTAAAGAGATTAAAAAAAAAAAAAAGCCCTAAACACCTGCCAAATATTGCCTATTTGACTTTGTCTTCTATAAAAATTAAGTGTTTGTCCCAAGCAGCAAGGCTGGCCTTGCCTGGCATTCTTTACACTTTTGTTTCTGTCGTTTCAAATCTGGGTGTATCCCTTGTATCAGTGGGTACCTTTCGTAACTCCGAATTACTCAAAGACTCCAAAAACACCGACACAGCAATATGAATTAGGCAGCGCTCACTGCTCTGTGCTGTGTTGGGAATGACAGATGGGACAGGAAGCCTCTGTCATCTGCCTCTGCAAGATGGGGATCCGAAATTAACACCTGATGAGTCCGCAAAACGCACCTGGGCCTGACAGAGAAGCAGAATGCTCTAGCAAGAACCAAAATGTGAGGATTCTTTCCTGGGAGAGGTTACGTTTTTGCAAGGACTCAGGCCACAGAGGCTGGAATCAATAAATACAAATTACTCTCTGGAAGGCAAGCTTAATCTTTAAAATGTCAGTGTGCTGGGCAGAGAAATCACAAGAGATAGGCCAGGTTGGTAGAATTAGGGTTCTGCTAACCTCCAATTAAATAGTTTGTTAAATGCAGAGCCTTCTTACTCTGGTGTTATTTTTAGAACAACAAAAAGGTTTATAATCTAGCCCAGAATAGGGGCGTCTGGGTGGTTCAGTTGGTTAGGTGTTGGACTCTTGATTTCTGCTCAGGTCATGATCTCAGGGTCCTGAGACTGAGCCCCATGTCACGCTCAGGAGCATGGAGCCTCCCTGAAATTCTCTCTCCGTCTGCCCACCCCACCCCAAGCCCAGGACACTGGCACAAGCTCGCTCTCCCTAAAAATCATCATAATCTGGCCCAGAATAGTATCTTTACTACTTTTTCATTATTTTTTAATACAAAAACTTTAAATAAAATTTCCATAAATCAATGATACCAAGTTCATTTTTTTTTTTTTCCAAATTGGCTACTTCACTAGGAGACAAACCAAACTCTTCTCCACTAGTGGGGACCCTCCCTCGTTCACGCTTCACCGGACACTTACGAGTTGGCGTGGATGAAGTCCAGATGCAGCTGGGCCCGTCGCAGACTGGCATACTTGTCGCCCATGTCCTCGAACGCGACCCGCGCAGCCCTAAGACACACGTACCACTGCTTACCTCCCAGGCAGGGGGCCCAAGTCCTCGTCTCCGCCCACGTGCTCGTCCACCCACGTCCTCTTCCCTACCCACGCCCTCGTCCCCGCCCATGCTCCTGGGGTCGCGGCTCTGCAAACGCCCACTCCCCCTGCCGGCTGGAGGGTGAAGTTCACCCTGCACTGTCCGCCTGGGTATCTGGCCAGGTAAGTCCTTATTCATCTTGAATCCACTCTATGAGAATGAGGCATCCGAGCTAGACTCCTCTTTCCACACTGAGATTTATTTAACCTTCCTGCACAGTTGTTCTATCATTCCCCAGATGGGAAATGGAGCCCAAGCCTAGGATCAGAATTTGATCAGAAATGATTGCACACACACACACAAAGAATGTGAAGAAGCTGGGTCTGGAGGTTGGGGGGTATAGGGAAGGAAAATGGGTAGTTTTCCTTCACTTGCATAGTTTGTTCCACAGCACCAGAGGTAAAGACATTTGTGTTCTAACCCAGCACTTACCTTCCTGTGTTTCATGGGTTGAGACTGTTTCTCCCATCAAAGGAAAGAAAGAAGGAAAGATCAGCCAGAGAGAAAAAGGAAGGACTAAAGGCAGTCAGAACAGAATTTGGACTTTGCTGTGATGTGGAGGCTTGTGTTCATGAGAAACTTTTTCACCTGTCAGCTGATAGTCAACTATTTTATGTACTGGCCCAGCTCAAAGAACACACATTCTGCACTGTTCCAAAAGATAGAACTGGGCAGGTAAAGGTTCAGGGGAAGGAGGGGGTGGGAGTGAATGTAAGGAAGGACTGTGAGCACCAGCTGTCCAAATGTTGTTACTCACAAAGCACTGAGTTCCAAGTCACCAAAACCCCAGCTGAAATATGACTTGTCAAAGATGCTTTCTGGAAAGGTCCTGGTGGTGATGAGAAATTAGGTAACCTAACTGACCTCTAAAAAGTCTTCAGACTCATTCAATCTAGGGCTATATGACTTGCAAATTAAAGTAGTTCAATAGCACTCAGCAGAGATTTTGTCATAGTTTTAAAATCAGAAGTGAGGGGCACCTGGGTGGCTCAGATGGTTAAGCGTCTGCCTTCAGCTCAGGTCCTGGGATCGAGCCCTGCATTGGGCTCCCTGCTCAGAAGGGAGCCTGCTTCTCCCTCTCCCACTCCCCCTGCTTGTGTTCCCTCTCTTGCTGTCTCTCTCTCTGTCAAATAAATAAATAAAATCTTAATAAAATAAAATAATAAAATAAAATCAGAAATGAGTGTCTAGTGAATAAAGAAATTGAACTAGATGTGTTTGTGATTTTCAGGCATCATACAAGCAATGAGGTCTCAGAAAAGAAAAGAAAAAAAATTGTCAGTTTTGGGATAGTCATTTTACTTCTTAAAAAAGTAGTTTATCAGCTACTACATTTATAGGAATCAGGAGAGGAAGAGAGAATTTGAATGAAAACCCAAAGGAACATGATGCTCTACTTTAATTTGAAAACTGGAAGTAAACATAAACATTTCAAGTAATTTTCCTGATCGCATTTTTGTTTTAACAGTGGCTGACGTGGTGGTGTTTTGATAGGAAAATTCTCTTTACTAAGCAACTTGAGCTATCTTTCCAATTTCTCCTTCCATAGAACTTCAGAGTATGGTATTTATTTTCATTTTATGGACAAGAAAAGCTTGACAAGTCTCTTCTGGATTTATTTTACTACCCCAACTTCCAGCTGCGATCTCAAAGCAATTTACTATTGGGAGGGCACTGGGGCCACTCGCCTGTAATTAGTAAAGGCTGTAATATTTAATTTCTACCAGAGGGAAGGGTGTGATTATCATAGAAGCAGGTCTTCTAATAATATGAGCAGAGTAAGTGGCCAGCCCCAAAGCACTAGATGCCTCTGTCTGAATAAGAGGCACTCAGGGGGATCTGTTAGATATGCTAAAACAGAGGCCTCAGAGTCATTGCACACAACCCCCAACAGCCGTTCCCCTTCACCATTTCAACTCCACTTAGCCACCCTCTAGTCATACAGGTAAATCTTATTCCTCTTCAAGATACACTTTTGGGATACATTTTCTTAGCCACCTCCCTCAACCCTGCCTCAAGATTCATTTTAACCTTATTTTATGATACAAAAATATTGGAGAAACAGCAGGAAGGGGAAATTTAAAAATGAGAACATCAGGGGTGCCTGGGTGGCTCAGTTGGTTGGGCATCTGCCTTCAGTTCAGGTCATGATCCTGGAGTCCTGGGACCAAGTCCTGCATCAGGCTCCTGACTCAGCAGGGAGCGTGCTTCTTCCTCTGACCATCTCCCCTCTCATACTATTTCTCACTCTCTCTGTCTCTCTCTCAAATAAATAAATAAATAAATAAATAAATAAATAAATAAAATATTTAAAAAAAAATAAGAACATCATCTGCTCATCTTTTGGTTGATCCTGATTTTAAGAAGAGTCAGTTGGGATAAGAGATTCTTCAGCTCTTCCTAACTAGACATTTCAGCTTTGCAACATTCATGTACTGGTCACAAACAATGGCTCAAATCTTTCAAACTATACTCTCCCCCTCTCATTTAAATAACTTTGTATGGGGGTGCCTGGATGGCTCAGTCGTTAAGTGTCTGCATTCAGCTCAGGTTGTGATCCTGGGGTCCTGGGATCAAGCCCCGTATTGGGCTCCCTGCTCTGCGGGAGGCCTGCTTCTCCCTCTCCCCCTCCCCCTGCTTGTGTTCCTTCTCTTGCTGTGTCTCTCTCTGTCAAATAAATAAATAAAATCTTTAAAATAAATAAATAAATAAATAAATAAATAACTTTGTATGGGGGCATCTGGGTGGCACAGTCCATTAAGCGTCCAACTCTTCGTTTCAGCTCAGGTCATGATCTCAGGGTCATGAGATTGAGCCACGAGTCAGGCTCTGCATTAAGCATGGAGTCTGCTTAAGACTATCTCTTCCCCAAAGGGAGAGGAAAAGATGGCAGAGGAGTAGGGGACCCTATTCCAACCAGTCCTCTGAATTGAGCTGGATATCTACCAGATGACTCCAGACACCCATGAAATCAGCCTGAGATGTAAGAAGATATATCTGGATCTCTACAAACAGAATATCACAGAGGTTGGTTTCGAGGTATGAAGTGGGGAGTTGTGATTCCGCGGGCACACATCAGAAAATAAACAGAAGGAGGAGGGAGCTGTGGGGATCCTACACCACTGGTGAACAATAGCCTCCTGTGCTGGGGATGGGGCACAGACTCGCAGACTGGTAGTGGTGGGGAAAGGACTTTAGGGCAGCACCCTAGACTGAAACCTGGAGTGGCGGGGCCGCACATGTGCACTGGAGGTGGCTGGTGGTTTTAGAAGCACAAAGGGCCCCCATGCCCCGAACTGGAGATGAGGACTGGGAGCCCTGCAGAGGGGTGCACAACCCAGGACACTGCAGTTTATAGCAGCACAGACAAACGGAGATAGTATGGCCTGGAGAGCTCACTGAAGAACAGACTGTGATCTCTCTGCTCTGAGGCAGAAAGCTGGAAAAGATCTCTTCAGCTCTGACTCTCAGAAGAGACACAGAAAACCACCAAGGAAAGCCACTAGAGAACAAAAGCCCCCCAAAACTGGTTTTCACTGAGCCCATCCTCCCCACAGGGGGTAGGGCAACTCTGCCCAAACAGAGTTGCCCGAGTAACAGCTCGGCAGTTCCCTCCCCCAGAAGACAGGCTGGGAGAACAAGAGGCCAAAACCCTAAGGTTCCTATAAAACAGGTGAATCTTGCTTGGGTTGTGGTCAATAATTTGGACTCTATACATTCCCTCAAAGACCCCTCAACAGAATGACTAGGAGAAGGAATCCCCAAAATAGGAAAGACTCAGAGACTGTGACTTCTGCCACAGATTTACAAATGGATACAGATATAACCAAGATGTTGGAAATGGACTTCAGGGTAACAGTTATGAAGACAATAACTAGAATGGAGAAATTGATTAATGGAAACATAGAGTTTCTAAGGGCAGAAATGAAAGCTGAACTGGCAGAATTTAAAAATGCTATCAATGAGATCTAATCTAATCTAGGTAATCTAACAGCTAGGGTAAGCGAGGCAGAAGAACGAATTAGTGATCTAGAAGACCAGTTGATAGAAAAGAAGGAAAAAGAGGAGGCCAGGGAGAAACAACTCAAAATCCATGAAAACAGATTTAGAGAAATAAGTGACACCTTGAAACGTTCCAGTGTTAGAATTATTCGGATCCCTGAAGGGGTAGAGAGAGAGAGGACTAAAAGATACATTTGAGCAAATCGTAGCTGAGAACTTCCCTAATCTAGAGAATGAAACAAACATTCATGTCCTAGAGGAAGAAAGGACCACTCCCAAGATTAAGGAAAACTGGCCAACACCCTGGCATGTAATAGTAAAACTCGCAAATCTTAGAACCAAGGAAACCATCTTAAGGGCAG